TTATTGCATGTGCCTTCCTCATCATTGTGGGTTTCTATGCTGCCCCTAAAGACACTGGCATCGGTATTGGTATCTTACTGACCGGTGTTCCTGTCTACTTCATTGGAGTGTACTGGAAGAACAAACCAAAGTGGTTGAAGAATATGATTGGTGAGTTGAGATGTTTATGTTAGAGGCAGGGGGCATTGTTAGTTTTGCTATGTAAAAACAGCTTCTATTTTCTAAATAATCTCAATATGAAAGCATAACTAAGAAAAAATATACTTTTCATATGTTTTTTTCTGGAATTATGTTGAAAATTGGTTACATTAATAATTCTAATTATGTTATTGTCACTTTTTGCGCCTGTCTTCTAGAAGTTGATTGAATTTTTAGACAAGATGAAATAAACTGTTAACTTAATGTGATCAAATTCATGTTATTTGTAAACCATAATTTTGTAACCTAATTTTGGATTTCCTTATAGTGAACAGAAATGTTAATTTTTGTTTTTGTTTTTTTATTTTCAGCACAAGCTACAATCGGTTGTCAAAAGGTTATGTTTGTAACGCTAACAGAAGAAAAGCTCAATTGATGATGTTGACATGCTTGAAGTCATGCTGATTGGTATATGTCATAGATTATTTTAGAAATAGTTTATTTCATAATTTATTGTTTTCTTTTAGGATGTCATAGAATGTGATGTGCATTTTCCTCTGCTCTTTTTTTTGGGTCATATTTTCAACACAGTTTATGGCGCCACCAAGAGTTGATGTTTAGGGAATGCTTTTGTTTTTATCTGCTGTGCACACCAAATTGTTTTATTTAGTTATGTGTGTAGCATTTTAGTCTCTTAAATAGGACAGACTCACTCTCTTAGCTTATCTGCCTCTGTAGATAGAAGTTACCATATAAAATGCATGAAGTTATTAACAAGTACACATATTAAAAGTTGGTGACTATGCTTCAATTGTGTGGAGATTATTAACAATTAACAAAAAAGCTTTGATTTGAAAAATAAAAATTAATAAGCTTGCAACAATATTACTAGTATTTATGTTTGCCAGTTTATTTATTCTGAATTTTGTAGAATGATTAACAAAATCATGTGCTTCCATGTGTTCCTTTCCAACGTCACTGCCTTTGGACCAACATTGTCGTAAACGATTGATACCTCAGTCTACTCTAATTTTTAATTCCAACTTAACTCAATGACCATCAAAAATAGATCAAATTTTACCGAATCCTGCCAGTATAGTGGGTCTTTCATGAGATATTGAGGCTTTTATTCACATCTTAACTTTTTTCAGTTTACATGTATATTATTTTAAAAGTTCTTCTATTATGGGACAGATGAGTTTAGTGAGAATCTGTTTTAATAATAAACAGATTATTTTGTTGCGAGTTTTTGTATCCCATATATGTATGGGACATCAAATGTTATAAATGAGAAAGCTTTTTTTAAAAAAAAAAACGTAGGCATATCAATATAATGTACTTTATTTTCTCTTTACTACAACTTTCTTAGTGTATGTTTTCCCAAAGTTTGTTTTTAAATCAGTTTGTTTGTTTTTTCTAAAATGAAAAAAAAGAAAATCTAATTTAATTACATCTACTGATGCCATTGTCAATATATTTATTTTTTTTTTTCCAAATTTCTGAGATTAAGGCAATATTTTATCTATATACTATTTTTTGTGTCTGTGTATCTTATATTTTTCCATCACATTAATGAATTGTATTTTTCCTTGTGGTGGGTGATAGTCAACAATCAAAATAGATGAAATTTTACACTGAATATTAATTGGCAGTTGATATGGAAATATGTGAATTATGGTTGTAATGAATTGATTAGAAAACGTGTCAATAAAATCTGTTTTCAGTCTTAAAGGTGTGCATTTATTTCCCCTTCTGTCCGTGATATCATCACCCTTGACTCGTTGCTTGTCATCGTAGATGGCGCTGTATTGAACTTTTTGATATGTTGTATATACTAGTATCTGAATATTTATAGTTGGAACGCGACTGTTGAAAGTAAAATGTAGAAATTCAGAAACAGCTCCCAAAATGCGTAATAATTGGTGAACGTGAAAAAACAAATGTGCACTTCATGCGCCGGACCGGTTATGCGTTCATTTTTGTTATTAAAGACGAAGATTGATTAAAGCGGGAGGGTCGTCACCTGCGCACGCGCTGGAATTGAGTCCCGAGTGACGATAACACACGCTAAAAACGTAAAGGCTCATGGGTAGAAGCTTGTTGGTAAACAATGACACGCTATGGCCATCTGACGCATGCGCATGTGACGAATATTTACATTTGAAATGGTCAAGTAAAAGAACAATTAGATATTTAAGTCATAATAACACCGAGTATCGGAGATCTCGGAGATATCGCGATATTATGTCTTCAAGAATGTCATCAAATCGCGAAAATTCCTAAGTAGCGAAAATAAACGGTTTGCAGTATGTACAGCTCATAAATTCAATATTTGTGACAGTGCTGTTAATTCTATTATTACATGTTTTTTTTCTACGTATGTTGGAGTTTGAGATGTGGACAATTTTATTTTAACGCTGAGTTTTCTCTAAAAATCGTTCACCTAATTTAAAATTAAAAAGCGGGAAGGTCGTCAGCTGCGCACGCGTGAGAATTGAATCCCAAGCGATGATAACACAAGCTAAAAACGCTAAGGCTCATGGGTTGACGCTTGTTTGTAAACAATGACAGATTATGGCCACCTGACGCGTGTGTAGGTGACGACTCCCCCGCTCTTTAAGCTTTTGGCTGGTGGGTCAGTTTTAAAATTGCAGTCTACATGTATTTCTGTTTTGCCTATTTATTGAGGGTAATCATGTGACCTCTGATATGCCACAAAAATGTGTCCGTGACGAACAATAAACTATGTACAGGACGGCAGATGATGTCTTCATACTCGCTGGCTACGTAAATATAGTATAGTAATTGATTGTGTGTGATACGTTTTATTTTAGAAAAATAGAAATATATTATGAAATTTATTTTTATTTGGCGTCAACAGAGAATATATATCTGTTGGTATTTTGTAGATTTTTTTTAGCAAATGTGTGTTTATACAAATCTGTTATTCCCGAATTTTAAACGCCCCAATTGCTACGTTCGCACGACAGTATTTCATCAGAGCCCTACGGAGCCGACTCGGGCCAAGCATGGAGCTAACTCCATGGGCCACGTCAGGGCGGCTCCATTAAACCCTCTCGATTGAACTCCGGTGGCCTGGGTAGGGCCCGACATGGCTTCGACCGTGTATCAGCATCGCCCTCAGTCGCTTACTTCAAGTAACCACTCATTTCAAATATGGCGGAAACAACATCGTTTGTAATTTCTGGCTTGACGAAGAGGTATGCTATCTAATATATATTATGGGGCAGGTGAGTTTACTTCTAGCATGGAGGGCTTCTAGTAACCGTGTGTAAACTTTGCAACTGGCATGACGCCACGTGTGATGGAAAGATGTCATGTGAGTTGCGCCTCAAACGGCAACTCTGGTCACATTCTGTACATGATAGCTCAATCAATTAATATAATCATAGAGATAAAAATAGATTTTGATCTATGCTAGAATTTACTGCATTTGTTCTCAGCTTCGAAATAAATGACTTGCTCATAACATGCGGTTTATTGTTGTAACGCAAGAGAGTTGGTAGGGAATTGAATCGCTCAGAGATGAAACAGGATGTGAGTGTTTGATGATCTCGTTGTACTAGGTGTCTGAGGCACCGGCCCTCAACACTGTGTTGAGGGACAGTGTCTGAGGTTGTAGGGTGATGCCCGTAGAATGTGTTGCAACGTCCATCACCTGCCGCACTCCGTCACCGCAAGTCCAAGTAGACTTTCGTCAATTGAAGTGGAAACCGGGGATGTAGTCGAAGAATTGAGTGTGCCTTCTCTCTTCTCTGGTAGCATCGTCCGAATCGCACATTCATAACCGGCCCGAAGCTTCGGCTAAATAAATGGTCCTTGGCTAACGAAGATGCTCTGGTAGACGTGTCATCTGTTTCTCGTAATTCTTTATCAAATGGTGGCAATGTGTTATCAATGATAAATACAATGCTAAGATCACATTATGTGAATAAACAAAGACGAAGAACACATGTCACTGTACTTTCAATTACGTGTAAACATACCTCCATGGTATAAATATTTAGAATGTCAGTTTGGTTGCATGTGTCTAGCAAACAATGCCACCATTGTGTTTTGTTCTATGATTAGTCGCCTATTGTTATACTGGAGGTAACGAATTCATAGCTTGACTGTCAATTTAATACAGGTATCGTGAATGCAGGCGTTTCAAAACAATTAACACCGTGTAGGTGTGGTAGGAAGGCCCAATTCATTTGCCCTGGGCAAGTGTGAATTGGAGATGTGGCTATGTTAATAAGTGTTGTTAATCACTTGCATAGCCTATGACGCATCCTGTTTCAGAGGTCCAACCATAGACCCTCTGTTAGAGGGTCTATGGTCCAACATCACGTTACTGCAGCAGATTGACAGCAGTTAATTATTCAAGATTAGTAGCGCGTCCCTTTCCCCGGTTT